CGCCATGATGCGTTCCGCTGGTGTCGCCGACGGTGACAGTGTCCATCGTCACTGGTAGCTTCAGTGGCTCCTCTGGGCGCGGGGGCGAAGTTCGTACGCGGCGATCTTCGGGTTGCGTGATTTCTCCTTCCTCGAAGTTGACATCGCCGATTGCCACTCCCCTTGTCTCGAGGCGAATGTAGTTCCTGCCGTCCGTCGTGATGGGAAGTAGGTGAGGTCCGTACTCCGTCAGTAGCTCTTCCTCCTCTGCTTCTGGTGCCTCTTCAGTAATTTCCGGTTCCTCTGCTGCTTCTTCTACAGGTATGTTGGCGATGTTGCCCCATCCAGTTTCAGCTGCGATGGCTTCGCCTAGCGCGGTATTCTCCATGACCCGACGCATATCGATTGCGTCCCATCCTTCGGTTGTGTTCCAGCCGGTGGGACGTTCGACAGGCGGCCAGAAGGTTTGCGTGCTTGTCGGCTCAGTTGTTTCGACTGCCGTTTCCGACGTGATCTCCTCTCCTTCCACTGCTTGTGGTCCGGTTTCTGCAGGGTTCGTTGTTGAGGCGACGGGCACGGCGAGAGCGCGGAAGGTGCCGTCGAGGCCGGGTTGTTGATAATCGGTTTCTTCTGGGTGGCTCCATCTTGGCGGCGACGGGTGACCCGGAGGGTCAAGAATAAGGATGTGTTCGTTGTCGCCTGAGGTTCTGGGCGACTCGAAGTCGAGCACGAAGACGCCTTCCACACTTGTTGCCTTTCCGATGAATATGCCGTTGTATATTAAGTGCATTTCGTCTTCTGTCGTTTGCAGACCAACCCCGCACTTCATCAGTTGGTGGAGCGACAAGAGATTGTACCGGAGTTCCGGCACGATGAGGACATCGCTTATGTGGATGCAGTACCCGGTGTTGTGTGACTCCAGTTGTACTTGTCCGCGGCTTCTGGCGTAGATGGTTTGGCTGTTGGCGACGGTGATCTCCACTTCGTTGAAGAGTCGCTCTATGTTGAGGATGAAGGCATCTGAAGACACCATGTGCTGACCACAGCAGGTGTCCAGGTACCACGTGTTGACTTCCTTTCTTGTCTTGGCCAGATTGGCAAGCTTCGGAGTGATGTGATGTTCCATGTCGTGATCATTTTCGTAGTCGTAGTAACATCCTTCGTCGTCGTCTGCGATGCGTGCAGGTGGCGACTCCTGAATCCACTCCGGCGCTTCCCAGTCAAACTGCATCCGTCCGACCGTTAACTCGTCGTGGGTCTTCTTCGACTGATCCTTCGGGCCGCTCCTGAGGCGGGTCTGCGAACATATTTTCCCAGCTGCGGAAGAAGCGGTCGTGACGGTTGGGGCGAGGCGGTCCACGACGCACCATGCAAGTCAAGACCTTGCTTTTGCCCTTGTCGCTTGTGTTCGCAGAGAGACGCGCCGGAGCTTGAACGTGCTGGCGACGGCTGGCGGCGACACAGTTTGGTTGCGCGCTGCGGCTCCTCCTTGCTGGTGAGCAGCGGCACCCTTCTGGTTGTTGTTGTTACCGTTCAGCTTCCAGCAGTCTTGAATCATGTGCCCAGTCTTCTTGCAGTACTTGCAGAAGAGTCTTTTCTTGTCCGGTGGCGCTTGAGCGTAAAAGGCAATCTTCTCCTTCTTGTTGCCTCTTTCGTTGTACAGGTCGATTTCCTTCTGCTCGGAGAGAAGCGTGGAGCAGAGGGCAGTCTCACTGAGAGTGCCTTGTGTGCGAAGGAGGGACTTGCATTGGCGCCATTCCGGGTCAATCCAGCAAGGATGATGGTTACGAACATATCGTCAAGGAAGTTGCCGCCGCTTTTCCTGAATTGGTCTCTCAGGTTTCTGCAGCGGTTGATGTATGGTCCGGCCTTTTCGCCGGGAAACATCTTGACGTTGTTCAGCTGGTTGAGCAGGCGACTGAGTGTTACCGAATCTGTTGCCATGTGGCAGGTACGCAGGTGTTCCCAGGACTGCTGCGCGGGCGCCCACTCGTTTTTGAAGGGGCGAATGCTCAGTTGTTCTTCGGGCGACAGGTTTCGGATTAAGACGGTGAAGGCCAGGAGCGATTCGTTGTAGTATTGCGTCTTCTCCTGAGGTGAGCCGTTTGCTAGAAAGGGGTGTGATCCGTCGTAGTACATCCAGATATGGGCGCCCTGAGCTAGTAGTTCGAATTCGAAGCTCCACATGTAGAAGTCTTGTCCATCGAAGGGCTTGGTAGTTCTGAGCTTCGACGTGGAGAGGAACTTGCTCTGCATTGAAGCCATTGCCTCGTAATGTGTTTGTTGTGCTTGAGCAGATCCTTGAGCTCCGCGGTTGTCGAAGGTAAAGGATCGTTCAGATCCAGCTCCTTGAGGATCGGGAGGTCTTCGGGCGTAACTTGAGCCGTCAATCCTCATTGGCTGGTGGCTCTCCAGTGCACTGATGCGGGAGATTAGTTGCTCGAGGAGCGCTGTGTCCACGGTCGTCGTAGTAGAGGCGACATTGGTGGAAGGTTGCACTGGATTTTCTCCAGCCTCTTCGCAGTCTGCGCCTGGCATGTTGATGCCCTTGATGTTGTTGATGTTGAGATTAAATTATAAAGAAGCTTTGTTAGAAGCCCTTTTGCAGATCCTATAATCCAAGCTAGCTCTCATACCATGTTAGAGGGAGGACCTTTGGATAGGATAGGAGGTGCTTTGGTAGAGTTGGTAGCAGAAGTCTTGTAAGAACTCAGATCATAGTAAATGTAAATGACCAAGTTGATTAAACAATAGAATACAAGGAATATAAATAGTCCTAGTCTAGCCATGTACTCTGAGGGGTACATTTCCTTATTATAACTGTTTTACAGGCATTTCTACAGTGACTCTGACTGTTGTACTACTTTCTTGTTACCGAGTCGCTGCATGTAACCTGTGCGGTTACGCCTGTTGCCATTCCTCGATGGTAAGTCAAGCGTCGGTCCAGATGGTCAACAGTCGCGACAGTTGATTCTTGCGACTGTTGACCTTCCTGCCCTTGATACGAGCTGATCCGATACTGCGGTTGTTGCTGCTTCGACAAAGTCAGGTGCGATACTGCTGCACCTACGGGAATGCTAAGTATAATTCCCTTCACACTCCAACAACGCTTCCGCTATTACAACTTCCTACTCAGAGTTTAGCCCTGCAAAGATCCTAAGGGCTTTTCTCAGCCCAACAACAGTCTCAGTCAGTCAACGGTGGCGACTATTGACCGTCCAGTAACCGTGCTCGGAGGTTACACACTGCAACAAGGTAACAGTCGAGTAGAACAATAGTCGCGGTTTCTATAGCCAATGCAATACAGTTAATAAGGGAATGTACCCCTCAGAGTACATGGCAAGCTAGATTGATATTTATATCGTTGTACTCCTATTTTAGAACCATCATGTCCTATTATTTACAAGGTCAAGAATTCATTGTCTTTGTATCTACAACTTAGCAAATATTTGCATTTCCCAATTATATGAACATAATTCAATAAGTTGTAGAGAGCGCATGGTTTGTAAAAGAAGGAGCGATGTATCTGAAGTGGTAGATTTTTTCCTAGCCCCAAAAGAGATTCAAGCATGTTATGAATATTATATTCCATAATAATAGATTGACATATATGCCAGTATAGAACATCTCTTCATGTTTTCAGCAGTTGTAATGTAGCTTATTCCAAACCCTCGGGTTTTAATGTCGGTCATTGTTTATATTGAAGATCCAGATAGGTCTGCTGGAAACATGTGGTTTGCGGAGCGGACACGAAAGCAGTCAAATGCGTGGCGGAGAAGGGCCGGTAAAACCCACGAGTATCTGGTCTGGCTGGCTGGCCTTGTTGCATTTAAATTCGCTATCTAACCATACCGAACCATAACAAACCATTACAGACCGAGTTGTATCACCTCCAAAGTTAGCGCAGCTGAAGTCTGTCTAGCACGAAAGAGGGTGTACAGTACTCTTGTTACTAGCTGGCTGACAGTGCAGGCAACCTTCCAACCAGCTCTCCCGCTCACTGTCATAGGGGGTGCCCAGAGTGCACGTCCGAATACGGGTGAAAATCGTTTTGACCTGATCCAGAGCGGTCTATTATACAACATAAATGGCTGGATGGGGTTTCTTCGGATACGTACACAGTTTGCTCAGCCGAAAACCCTACATTGTTGGACCCGGCCCCACAGCTCATGAATCACACTGTTCAGGCTAGTACTGTACGTGGCGATTCAAAGCGGTGGGAAGAATATATAGCGCTCTAAAACGCACAACATCGTAGTCAACCTCTGCAAATGAGGTGAAAGTTCACCAAGCATCACACTCCCTCAGTCCAGCTCCCCCCCACCATCTCAATGCTCCATTCATGTTGGGGCTGTTCGACAGGCAGCCGTCTCCTTGCAGTGCTAGGGTTAGGCTTAGAGCTAAGAGGTGATTTCGAAATAACTTCCCCTAGGCTGTGGACGATACCACCAGCAGCAGTAGCAGTTTCATCGGCTCATTCCGGGAAACACACAGAAGCTCCCTGTTCCTGGCGGGCCGCCACTGAGTCGCGTAAGTAGTGTAGTTAATAGCTAAGGCGGCGCTCATCTCTCACACTTCCGTCCCAAGTGCCCGCCGCCGGCTCCATCCGTCGCGAGTGGAGGAGTGATAGCAGTCGCGAACAGCGAGGGTCTGAGTAGCGGCGAGCCCTGTGGAGCGACAGCATGCTGCGCTACAGCCTAGCCGCCCCCTGCCCGACCGGGGCTGCAGCGGCGGCGGTGAGCCGCCAGCGGATGGCGCGTGAGCGCGTGCTGCGCGCGCTAACGCTCGCATGGTGCTTTACCTCCCTCGCCACTCGCCTCGCCATCGTCCAGCCCACGACAATGGAGGCCTCGCAAGGTGACGCGAGAATCTAGGGCACGGCGTGTACTAAGGCCCAGTTGGTTGCAATGGAATACACCGCCTTTCATCATGGTGACTTATTCACAGCCCCCCACCACCCCCCCGCCCCACACCCCCCTCTCCTCCTCGTCCCCTCTTTCCCCTTCCCACAATCCCTGCAGTGCAATTCCTGCACGACTGCCAGATGGCATGGAATACGAATTTCTCTGGCTGGAATGAGACGATAATGCAAGGCGGCATTAACTGCGACAATGCTGACGGCATCACATGCGACTCGAACGGAATGATCGTGACACTGTGAGGTCCCGTCTCGTCACCTGCAGTCTGGCTATTCTATTCCGACAGCACATCATCGCCCATGCTTTATAGTACTATCAGCGCATAGTACTTGAGATGTTTGGCAACACAGGGACCCCCACATCGGTCCCTTCCTAAGTGCCACCACTAATGCGTTGCTGTTATTTCAAACCTATGGTGGCATGGCCTGACACGTGTGGGCGCAGTGGATTGGCGAACTTGGGTCTGCAAGGGCCTATTCCGGCGTCCATCAGCAACTTGAGAGAGCTTGTTGACCTGTACGTTCCCCTGACCTTGGTAACTGCCGGCGAACATGTGGACACTGGAGGGGAGGGAGGACAAGGATTGGAAAGGTGAATAGGGTGGAGTGGAGTGGAGTGGACGAACGTGTGGAGTGCAAGTCGAGGGAGTGGCGAGGTGGCATCAGGAAGGAGTGAGTGTCAGCTGTGGCTGTGAGTGAGGTGGGAGTGTGCAGTAAGTTGCATTGAGATGGGGACTTGGCGAGCAAGCCAGCAGTTAGAGTTGTAATGGTAGCTAAGAAGATGCTAACATGAGAGGTACAAGTGGGTTAGCGGACGTTTATGTACCACACACATAGGACGCTACTGCAACGGCCCTGCTCATTCATTCGTTCTTCCTCTTATTCGTCATGTTGTTTGCATCTTCCGCCCCCCCCACCACTCCCCCCCCCCCCCACCCCCCAACCCCCCCACCCCTCCCCCTTCCCTCACACCCCCCCCCCCCCCTCTCCCTCCCTTCGTGTAGCCCTCTTTTATCCTGCATTGTTCTGCGAAGACCAATCGAGGTTCACCTTGCTTATCCTACCCCTTGTTGTCAAGTCTGCGTACATTCCTTGGCAAATGTTTGTTATCGTGTGATGTCCTTGTGCAGAGCAAAAAGATTAATTTACTCGTAACTGGTGGTTGCCATGCCAACGAATTGAAATCATATATCTTCTTTCCCCTGTATCACATGTCCGATTTGTGTACATCATCACAGTAATTTTTATATGAATCAGCTGTATGGCTCTATTCCAACTCAAGTTTTCACCCTCACAAAGCTGACACGCCTGTAAGGCCTCCGACCCAATCTGCTGCACTCTCCAATAAATCTCACACCTTTCCCAACTCAGTCGTTTCGTATTTTCTTCGTTTCAAAACTCTACTTTCTTCTCGTATTTTGCTCATCCGTCTGTGTCCCTTTCCTATCATTCCACCACACTTCTCCTAACCTCTCTTCTCAACCTCCCTCCTTCCTTTCCTCCAGTTGCCCCCTTTCTCATCGCCCCTGAAAAGACGTCGCTCTTATCCTTCCCAAAACCAGTCATCTCCTATCACTGATGGCACACCACAATCACTTGTCGTCACACCGCTGTACCTAGTTGCTCATACATATGTATGTATTATGTATGCATGTACTGATTGTTTCTGTTACCCCTGCCCGATTCTATGCCTCGCCTTCATGACAGCCATCTTGGTTCCAATCAATTCACAAGCTCAATCCCCAGTGAAATTGGCATGCTTACGAACCTGATTAGCACGTAAGACCTCCTTCCTCTGCCGCAATTCTCAAATATCTGCGCTCTCTTCGATTGGATAGCCCGACCTCTCCATTTATTGAATGTAAGGCTTGTCTTGTCATCTTTACTCCTCAGTATTTTCAGTACATTCAGCTGCGCGGAGTGATTGCATACGTAGTCCATTCCTCCCTATGCTGGATTCAACGCTCAGACAGACAGGGCATCAGAACGCTGCGTTTGACGTTGACGCTGCCCCCAAAACTTCTCGAGCAGCCTGAATCTTGGAAAACAGAATCAAGACCCCCGAAACCAACTTGAAATAAGAACCCCTCCAAACCTAAGCACTGTTTACCACACATAATTCACTTAACCCAACCCTCATGCCACCAATTCAGCTCCACGCTCATTTATCACGTTCATTCATTCGACCAAATTCTAAGCGTTCCCTCCCTCCGAGCCGTTTTCTACCCTTAATGTACCAAAATGTTTGCCGATCCGCGCACTCCCGCACCCGTGTCGCCTCGGAATGCCACCGTGCAGTACAAGAAGTTACCCACCCTGGGTTGGCGCCTCTGTCACACCGCCCTCACCCCCCCCGCCTAGACATGAGCAAAGGCGAGCGCCACGAACCTTTACGAATTCTGATGGCTGGCGAACTGAACACGAGCAGATTGACACGAACCAAATTGATAAAAAAGGCGTTCGTGTGGTCGTGGTCACATGCGAACATCTAAGGTTCGCCACGAACCTCTTGAGCGTTTGAGGCGAACTCGAACCTGTTCGGGTTTGGATGCCATCCTACTCCGCCAAAACGAGGGCTTAATGCTCTAAACCCCCTAGTGTCTAAGAGTAGGTAGGCACAAGCTAAGGATAGTGTAGTGACTGTTCACCAAAAAGAACAGTATAACTAAAAATCGCTCGTGAAATGTTGACCAGAAAACGCAATATCTACTATACTGTAATCACGTCAATTCCTTGGTAACTATCTACGCTAAACCGAAATGCTCCAATTTTTGTGTTTCTAGGGCGGCTGTGTGTAGGGAGAGCATAACAATAGCGTATCTTCTCATTTGAAAGTGGCAGCTCAAATGACGAGTTTGTTCACTACATACCCGTAGGGCACGGTTCAAAGTTTTGGTAGGAGAAAATACGGTCTGTATTATTACGCTCGTTTTTTACGCTATTATTTTAAAAATTCGGCCGCTTTTTTTGTTAGATCTGTTTTGGGGGATTTTTTTTTCTAGAGCTTCAAGAGAAAGAGTACAAACATTTCAACACTTTAGATTTGTTTATATTTAGCAATTTCAGTGCTTCCCTTCCTCCTCATACTCCCTCTACACCTACTACTACTCATCTACCTCCTCGCCTTCATCATAGGGCTGAATGTACAACTCGGGTAGAAGTTCTGAGCCCCATGTCGGAAATCTCCAACCAACCCTAAACCCTAAATTCTGTTATAAGTGTTGTATACCACTTGTTTCAATTTTCTGGTCGTAAAATTACAACATTGTACGTATTATACCGTTTTTAATGACCGAAGATACAATACCTTTTTAAACGCCAAGCTTTCAAAATTACGATTGTTTTTCTGCACCTTGCCGTAGGGTTTGCGGCAAACCTGTTTCAAAGGCGAACCCATTTGCGTTTGCCCTATGTCCCACGAATGCGACGAACATCACGAACGCGTTCATGACGAACTAGGGGCGTCTGTCACGAACGATTTTGGGGGAGAAAAAAACCCCGTTCGCTTCGTCACGAACGCGTTTGTGACAACTGAACAGGGGTTTGCGATTTTGCTCATGCCTGACTATGACCAAACAAGGCAACGTTACTCTGTTTATCAGACCGTGTAATATATATTCTGTGCTTTTAAGCGGAAGATAGAACTCGTGCGATGAAATCTAGGTAAAGGAGATTAACTAGGTATAGGACATTTGCGAGGTCAACCTGATCTTGATCTAAAAGTGTTTCGGTGACATGTGTGGTATTTCACATATGCATACTCGTTACAGGGTGCTCTTCATTTGCGTGCTCAATTGAATTCAACCGTTTTCTAGCACGGTGTGTTTTGTGGGCATCTCAACAGAGATTTTGGTCCAAACCAGCTCAATGGCTCAATCCCTGATGCACTCTGCGTCCTCACAAATATGATATTTCTGTAAGCCCCCTGCTTTGCCATGTTCCCTGTTACCGCACGTTCGCACCAAGGCGGAAAGAAATTACCAACTGCTGTTTTCTATGATGGTATTTCACTGAAACTTATGACGTTTTTTTCTGTTACCAAAGATAATGGGCAGCGCGACAATACGTATTATGAGAGGTAATTCCATAGTCATGCTCTGATTGTTCAGGGAATCTTCCCATTCCACAAAATGTTTCCTTCGGTTACCGGTTTTGGGTTCGTTTATGGAGGATCGAACTGTACCGCTCATTCATTACACTCATTCAATTAAACGCCCAAAAACTAACTTCTATGCTGAATCAACGGTGAATGTCCCCAATCAACCACAGAAAACATGCTAAACCTTAATGTAAGAATAGAGCGTTTGAGTAAGTATTTGAGTCGAAGTCAAACATCAGTATAAAATAACTTCCGAGTAGAACAGAATTTGTTCAGTTCTACTCGAACGCATTTCTGATCAGAATTCATACACACTAACATGTTCAAGTTTGAGCTTTCGTAATAACTGCAAAGGTTGGGTTGCAAAGTGTTGCCGAATGTTTTAAATTCTTGTTTTATGTTTCTCCCCTCATGGCCCCCCCAGTTGACCTCTCAATCGTAGTTTCCTCTCCTCTCCCGTCCACTTACCACCACCCATTCATGCTAAGCTTAGCTCCTTGCGACCTTAGGCTAGAACCAAGTATTTCTTGTCGGCCCAAGTCAGTGCCTACGAGAATCTGGTCATTCCGTTCCCTGCTGTGCCTAGCAACCAAGGGCACAGGTTGTACATTTGTATCAAGGAGAGGTCAGTAGTACAAGTGCAAGCCAAGTTGCATGTCAAATTTTACTTATTCCAACGCTTGGTTACTCGTACTTCCTGGCCATACGCATTCCACTTTCACCTTTTTCATATATGCGTTAGCATTGATCCTCCTACCGATCTTTCCCGATCCCTCCCATTCTATGTGTCAATGACACATTGGAGAAAGGAGGAGCACTTGCCTCGCTCCTCCTCACGCACGTCTCCTACCCCTGCCTGTCTATCGCCTGCTATTGTCTTCTCTGCACACATTGCAAAGACATGAACCGTTTCCTGCTGTTTTTTATCGCATGGATGACTTGTGTTCGTTATTACAGAAAGTGTGATACAAGTCAGTTAAGTGGTTCGATTCCATCTTGCATCGGCAATTTGAAAAAACTACAATCGCTGTAAGATACCTGCGTTCTGCATCTTTTAATCTCCTCTCCACTTCGATCTTCGTAAGGGGAACATGCAAAAAAGGGCTAACCACCGCCTGACTGCCTCCTCTTCCTCCTCACTTTCACCATGGCTTTGGTCCCACAGTTGGTGCTCCCCCTGGTAAAAAAATGAAATGACCATATAAAACGGCTGTTTTTCCTAATCAAGCAGGAAACAACACCTGGAACCCTATGATATTGTTTCATATTACTGTCTTGAAATAAAAGGCAGTTCTTTTCTAACCCTGGATAGGAGGAATTGAGGGCGATGAACGTTAACTCGCAGTCGTAAAACTTCTGGCTGGACTTTGATTTATAAGATCTGTCCGCCTATTTTAGTGTCGAAAAAAATCCGTGCCGAAGTTTTGTGAAGTAGATCTGACAAGGGGGCTGGGTCAACAATCCGGTTCGAGGCTCGTGGGATACACATTGCCGAGCCGACGAGGCGGCGACCAGCTCGACATGCCATCTTGGCTCGATCTTGACAAGCCGAAATTTTGACAGTGCCGGCATGAATCGAGCCCCCTGGCTCCTTTTCTCATGCCTACTCAGCAGTGATGCCTCTTCCTTGTAATGCTCTTGTGTAATTCCCCCCCTTCATGCTAGTAGTCTATGTTGGAAAAGTCGCGCCCAGCGTATTATACGCAAGCGCACATACGCTTGCGTATAATACGGGATGCGCTGAATGGGTGACTCAAGAATACGTGAAAAATACGCTGCCCGGGCAGGTAAAACTTTTTTCCGGTCAGGCGGCACTAGGAACCTCATTAGTTGCACTCGCGGGAGTGCCAGTGCCAGTAGGGGGCGTCATCGTAGAGCTGCGAGGTGATCGAGAACTGGAGAAAGAGAATTGGACGACGTGACTGATGAGAATGTTTAGGGTTGGGAGGGACTTACCTTTTTGTCCTCGATGAGAGTTGAGGTAGGCTGGTTGGAGACATTCGTGTAGCTGAGTTGGAGTCGCGGGGTAAAGGACGGTGCAATGCGGTTGATTTGAATGTCCCCTTGCCAAACTTGTGTGTTGGTGGGGTCGACGAATTGTTGATGTGGGAACAATTTGACGTCGCATTTGCAAAATTCGTGCGCACAATGCGACGCATTTTCCAATTTCGTGCGCGAACTTTTTCCTTTCCTTTTTGGCCGGGCAGCCCCGATTTTTCCGAACGAATGTACGTGCGTATTGCATACAGCGTATATTTGTCTACGTATATATGCTGTACGCATGCCCAGGCTGGCGACTTTTCCAACATAGCTAGTAGTGTGCATTCGAAATGGATTGTAAGAAACAAAAGGAAAGGACTAAGCTGCTGATCCAAGGAAGGAACTATGTAGTGTTGGGCAATCACATACGATAAACTGTGTCCAGCAAGACTTTTGCTACCCTGTTTGGCGGAGACTAAGGGTCTGCGTACTGGTTCCCTGCTTGCCTAGCTCCAAAGGTTGGAGTTCAAGTTGGGCACGGATTCTGGTGGGCTTGTGCATTGATGATTTCCCCGCTGCTCCAACCCTGAATGTAAATCAGCCAACAACCATTGCGAAAATGGACACGGCGGGGGCAATCCCTGTTCAAATAAACAGAATCATTTGCTGGTTCTAGCAGTAGTGATTATCTTTGCACCGTGTCTTTTGAGTTTTGTTGTCCCTTTTCAGAATCTCTCGCCCATCGTACCTCCAATCCTGCCAGCTTTGCTTGTTTTCTGATCCCTCATCAGTGTCTTGCACGCTCTACCACTCTACTTCTCATGCCTCGCTCGATGTGTCTCCATCGTTTCACAAACGCAGGTATCTGGGAGGCAATCAGCTTGACGGCCCCATTCCTCTAGCTACCCTGAGACCTTTAACAGCATTGAGAGCATTGTACGGCTTGTCTCTTGTCCTGCTTTTGCATTCGATGGTCGAGAGACATCTTAAACTTTCCACCAGAAAAGGGCTGTTTATGTGCATGTGGAGTGAAGAGTGTGTTGATGTTATCATATAACAACATCATCCCGTTTACAATGAAAGACATAATTTGCTCCATTCTGCTGTTGCACTGATAATGATCTATTTCTTCCCTGGTTGTCAAATTTATTGTCTTATCTCTGTTTGTTGGGATCCTTTCTTCTGTTCACTTCTCTATTGTTTGCTTCTCGCTTTTCTGTTGCCAGTTTCCCTTCTTCGTTGCACACATCTTTCCCAGTTCTTGGTTCTCATCTCACTACCCCACCTCGTCCTTCTTTCCTTCTCTCCATCCGCAAATAATTTCTCTTGCTCTGCTCTTTTCGTAACTGCAGAGGCTTAGCCAGCAACAAGTTCACTGGAAAACTTTCTTTCCTTTCAACCCTCTCTACTAAGATGGAAACCCTGTAATGCCCTTTCCCTGTTCCTCCTCTCACGTGCGTCTCTTATTTGTTAAAAAACAATGTGAGGATCCACACTGTAGTGAAGCGAATATCCACACAATCTACTGATCCTGGATATGAAATGAAATTGTGATGCCGCGTCGATGTCTAGGCATTACAAAACACGAAACCGTGGTTTGGTTCGGTGCGGTTTGGTAACCAAATTGGTTTGTCAGTTTGGCTGGTGTTAGCAACAACTAGCCGTACTGCACCGAATCGAACCGGTTCGAAACTAGGGCTAAGAACCAGAGAGCAGGAGCTTACAGGCTACTACGCCCCCCTCGTTCACTCAAGGTGCAAAAAACGGCACAAGTCTTGAAATTCTGGTGTATAATACACTATTTTTTTTCCGGCCGTTTAAATCGGTTTAGGATGCCAAACTTTTGTACATTTAATGTGGTGCCAAAAAGTCTTGAAACCAATAGGTGTACACATATTTTCAAGTATTTTTTTCAACCACGACCCTCGATCGGATGAACCAGCCATGAGGAAGACCAAGGGGTTTTATCCCTGGGACTGTAGAACGGTGACTACGGGAGGAGAGGATGTAGAGTGTGAGGGAGAGGAGGAGGAGGAGGGTTAAATGGGCACACCCTAGACACTTTGTTAGCATTGCGTTGCTTGTATGCTATCTTGGTCAGGGGTGGAATCGTTTTCTACTGTTCTTTTTTTTGTTCTAACAATTTGGATATGTGGCCGTAAAACACAACCGTTAAAAAAGAACCGTATTTGACTCAAACCCTATTTTTGCACCTTGCGTTCACCAGACATGGAGGTGTTTCCTACGGTTCATTTTTAGGTTTCATCTAGTGGTGGTAACTATGGTGAAGGGCCCTGGCTAACTGAACTTCGGTTCGGTACGGAATCGACCCGGTGCGGCGGAACTGGTTTGGTTCATTGCCTTATATCACGAACCGCGAACCGGTTCATTTTGTTAGGTAAATAACTGAACCGGTTCAATCGGTTCCCTGCTCGTGCCTATCAATATCCTGTGATTGCATTATTCTGAATTCTCAAGCTTTCTACGCGTGTTCACCTCAGGACTATCAACAACAATCAGTTCAGTGGCTCCATTCCTTCTGTCATTGGCTCTCGCTTTCTCAGACTGCAATATCTGTGAGGCCCCTGCTTTGTTTTCCTACTATATGCTTTCTCTTCCCCTGTGATACTCCTTGTGTCGAAGAACTTGAAACGCTCAAACGAGTGAAGTACTTGGTGAGGGAGGGAGGGGTAGACATGAGCAACGGGCGAACCCTCCACAGTGTTTAAGTCGAACGTTGCCGAACATGTATTTCAGTTGAACATTTTTGTGGGGTTAGGGGTGTTTGATGTTGGTTTTGCAGGGGCAACACCTTACAGATTTCCCAAACATCACCATGTTCGGGGCGAACCTCGAACATGTTCGGTTCGGGAGAGTATTTTCGTCACTTAGTCACGGTCGGATTTCAGATCCCGCTCTAACCCTAGTGCCTTCCAGTCGTCACCTATTGATAAACCCCTAAATCGGCCACAGAAGCTCTGAAATTCTGAAGTAACGGTGAAAATGGATGGATTGTCCTTAGCTTACGACACGTCTAAACCTAAAAGTTGGGATTGAGCTCGAAATGAGCTCAGTCCCAACTTTCCGCTCTCCGCTGGTTTTTCCGCGAACACTTTGGTGTTTGCTTAACCCCTAAAAATGTCACGAACACGTTTGATGATTGTGGTGCCTTGCCAAATTAGGTGCGGCGAACCAAACATGTCCGAATCGAAGATCAAACATCTTCGGGTCAAATATGTTTGGCAAAAAAAAAGGCCCGTTCTGTTCGACTCAACATGTTCGAGTCGAACCGAACAGGCGTTTGTGATCTTGCTCATGTCTAGGGAGGGGTATACATGAGCAAACGAGCTGATTTACTCGCCTAGTTCTCTAACTAGCCATTGTCGACTTTTTAATTTTTTGGTTGTTTTTTTTTTTTTTTTTCTGTAAGAACTTAAGTGAGTCGAGCCGTGTTAAGAAAACCTTTGCAGCGAGTTTCACCTACTCAGAAGAATATTTTCCTCAACGAGATTCCTATGGTTTTGTTGCTGAGTACATTGACAAGCATGTGGGTATGGCATGGTCGGATACGACATGGTTGCGCTATTCAGATACTAAGGGGTGAAGTGGGGTGAGATGGTTGGTTTTGCGGATCAAATTGAATCCCAGCATTCTGTTTTGGGGAACATAACCAATCGACCGCACTTCACCCCTTACTTTCAATAGAAGTTAGAACCCAGCCCAACCACCAGTCCAACAACATTCATTCACCATCTTACCTACCTCACATCGCCCCTTACTATCTAAAAATCCCAACCGCAAGGCAAAATTCACCAACCCACCCCACCCCGCTCCACCCCTTTCATTCCTATCTAAGAAACCCAAGCACCAGCCTAATATCACCATCCCACCCCACTTCACGCTTTCTTATCTAGAAAATCCAACCACCTGCTAAAATTCACAAACCCACGGCACAGCCACAAATGTTCTTCATCTACTGCCCTAGAACTTGCCATTTCCGATTCCAGCGCTTAGGTTGGTAGAGTATAAGTTACCTTACAACAACCCCAATGGCCGGGGCTAAGTTGGGAAAAACGCGTTTTGCGTTTAGTACGCTTTCGTATAAACGCTAGTGACTAAACGCAAAACGCTGGCAGGGAGGGGCCTGGTACGCTCAAGAATCCGCTTGCCCGGGCAGGATTTTTTTTCCCCCGGGCAGATTTTTGGGGTAAGAGGTGGGGATGGGGGGGTGCCATCCCCTCACAAATTTAATCCTGAGCGTAATTGATTTTCTGGGGCCCTACAGTATTGGCTAACTGGGAATCTTACAAATGCCTCTGCACGGATCTCCTGTTCGTCTTCTTCTTCCTCCTCCCCCTCTTCCTCCTCTTCTTCCTCCTCCTCCTCCTCCTCCTCCTCCTCCTCCTCCTCCTCCTCCTCCTCCTCCTCCTCCTCCTCCTCCTCCTCCTCCTCCTCCTCCTCCTCCTCCTCATCCTCCTCTTCCTCCTCCTCCTCCTCCTCCTCCTCCTCCTCCTCCTCCTCCTCCTCCTCCTCCTCCTCCTCCTCCTCCTCCTCCCCCTCCTCCTCGCCCTCCTCCTCCTCCTCCTCCTCCTCCGACGCCTCCTTGCATCCTTTTAGTTTTAATAAAAATAACTTCTTGCTCAATTTTAATTCTTGCGTACGGCAACACACTGTTTTCCCATCTGCACTCAGCCATATTCCCTGTGTTTATTTGTTTGCTACCCTACCCCACCACCGACACCTCCCCCTACCCGTACTCCTCACGTGCAGTGATGCATCTCACAACTACCTTTCAGGCCTGATTTCGATTCTTCCATGGTTCAAAATGGACCTTTCAAACAACTACTTGACAGGTCTTCTGAACGGTTCAGCCTCCCTTGACAGCCGTCTTGCTGTCAACTGTTTCACGCAGCCCAAATGTCCCAGCACGCAGCCCAACTGTTCCTCCACGCAGCGTACTGCAGCTGAGTGCACCGCATTCTGTGGTGGCTGGAATGCTTGTGATGGCCGTGGCATCTGCTATCCAGACGGGCCCAGCTTGGTGCCAACGTGCTTGTGTGAACTGGGATACGTGCAGATTGGGCGGTTCCATTGTTTTGCAGCAGGTAATTGTTGTAACAGTGATGATCATTATTGTATTCTTCTTTTTCGTGCCACATCACACTTCCTATGTGCCGTGCGTCCTGTACGTCCTGTATGTCCTGTAACTGCCAGGTCCTGATGCACCGTCGAGGTATGCAGACCTTGGTCGGCACCTAGTAAGCATTCAGCTGTTGCGCAAGGTTTCTGCGACCTATGTTACAAGGACCCTTTTTGTCGTCACCCGGCGTGAGCGTGTCTTGCTAAACTGTGCTTACCACCCTGAAGCAGCCTTCTTTTTCTATCTTGGCAGAAACCATTGCTCTTCCACCCCCATCCTTCCTTGTGCCCTTCTGTCATCCATTGAACCCTTTCAGGTTGGGATCGTGGCCTCTTTGTCAGCATGCCTGTTCTTCCCGTATTCACCATTCTCACCAAGGGAACGCAGCGACAGACAGTCGGAAAGTTTATGGCAAGGCCAGTAAGCCTTTTCGCGTACCCAAAGCCTCTGGCCACGGGATGTGGCGTGGAGCTGGCTTTCAGTGTGAACTTTACATTCTGCCTCGTTCCCCAGAATGGTACTGCCGGGTCCAACGGCTTTGCATTTGTGATAGCCGCGAAGGGGAAGGTGGGCAAAGCTGATGGTGTAGGCTACGGTGGAATGGAAAGGCGGAGTGTAGCCATTCAATTCAACACGCTTCAGAATGGCAACCAAAATGATGAGCAGCATGTAGGGCTCAACATTAATGGCTCGGATAGTTCGTTGGTCGCAGTGGAGTCACCATTCACTCTGAGCGACGGTGAATTCTACACAGCATGGGTGGACTATGACCCTTGGAATTCTGGGACAATTCAAGTGTTTCTGGCCAACTCCAGGGTGAAGCCAGAGACGCCGCTGCTGCAGAGGGAGCTGTCGCTGTGCACGGTGCTGCAGCCTAGTGCGCAGCAGTCGGCGTTCTCCTTTGGCTTCGTGGCGTCCACCACTGTGATGCCCTTTCAGATGCATTCCATTGTCAAGTCTGCCATGCGAACAGGCAAGTGATTTGCTGAGTGAGGTGACGGTGAGGTGATGGCACTTGATGATGCTGGTGATGATTTTGAGATGAACACGTGATGGTGATAATGGCGTTGATGGTGGCATGGGAACTGATTGTTTTTCATGGTAATTGATTTCAAAATTTTAATGTGCTTAGAAAATATTTCACCAGTCATGGACTCATGGTTAGGGAAGAGTGGAGATGACGAGCTGAAAGCTGTTTAGATGAATGCATTGAATCTAATCTTCTTTGTGTTGAATGCCTTGAATGCCTTGAATCTTTCATCTTGGTGCTGCTGTGGTTGTCCATGTTTGTCTTTTGTCTTCTCACAGAAATATCTCCTCCCCGCAAAGTCCAGACCACTCGAGGTGAGCTCTCTCTGCCATGTGACAACCAGCTAGGCATGAGCAAAAGGCCCAGTCGGGTCAGGTCGGCCTGCCCCGACCCGAACTTTTGCCCAGGTCGGGCCAGAGTTCTCAAAGTGGATATCCGAGCGGCTCGGGTCGACCCGATACCCGTGGCATGAGCAAATGCCCGGGTCAGGTCAGGATTCTCTTGAGCCTGGCCTGGCTGGGTCGAGCATTCATGGGCAACAAGTCGAGTTTTGACTTGACTCGTTTTAGGTACTCGAAAAGACTTTATTTATGTAAAAAAAACTAGGGTAAACGAGTCGAGTTTTACTCGCGAGCTATAAAGAAACTTGTGTAGAAGTCGGCTAGATAGGCGAGCTTTCCAAACTCGCAAGACATTTGGCCCCACCAGAGGCGGGGTGTACAACGGTCCAGAATTTCATATGTCCAGATCGGTGTTTCCAGATCATAGAAGAACTTTTATCTAGTTTTGTAGTAGTTGACATTTTGCCGCCAGATCCGCGGAGATGTGGCACTATTATGGGTAGCTGGTGGGGATGAGCAATATAACAAACTCCTGTTCGGTTCGCCTCGAACGTGTTCGGTGTTGGCCCGAACACGGCCGCCGTTCGCCCGGCTCAGCTGGCCGAGGCGCGTCGAACACGAACGCGTTCGTGTTCGACACGGGCCTTCGACAAAAACCGATGTGTTCGTCGACGAATAGGCCCGCAACCAATTTTAGGTCACAGGCCTTGGTGTTTGGGCTCAGATTTGGCATTTCGCCGTTACTTAAGTGCAGATAGAGCATTTCGCCGTTGCTTAAGTGCAGGTCGAGCATTTCGCTGTTGGTTAAGTTTCGGTTCGCCGAACTGCGGTGTTCGTGCAGGGGCGAACGCGAACACGTTCATGTTTGCATCTTGCTCATTCCTAGTAGCGGGCAAGATGCATCGAGTCGAGTTTTGCTCGACTCCCTCGAGTTTTACCAGGAAAATTCACGAGTTCAAAAAAGCTCGACTATATGGTCGAGTTTCAAGTTGGGCTTCAGGAAGAAAAAATCGACGAGTTTTACTCGACTCCACTCGGTGGACAAAAAAACATCGTTATAACTAGTAGAGTATGTATAGGGTCGAGTCCGCTCGGCCCGGCCTAACCCGACCCGGTAATGGAAATCGAGTCGGGTCGGTTCGGCTTTTGTCCCAACTTTGACCCGACCCGATTTCGTGTAAAAAACAGGGTAACCGGGTGGGCTTTGACCCGGCCCGATCTCGACACTAGTGAAAACCTTCAAGTCGAAGTCGATGGGACATTTTCCCCCTCGACATCATTCCCGCAACTTACCTTCAGCTTATAAAATCCTAGTTTTTAGGCAAGTAGTAGCCGATATGTGCAGAAGTTCAATGTCAAGAGATCTATAAAGACTGGGAGGGAAGGGGTTGGGAATTGTAGATTCAAGTGCCGCAAAGAGAGGTGAGCAGTGGCGAATTGGTTGCAAATGTTTGTTCCAACACATTTGTTAAAAACGAGTGCCTAGGTTGAGTAAATTACTGGCGAAATTCCGATCCCAAGTTCGGCCAGCGAAATTGACGATCTCCACAGTTATGTCAACGAAATCGTCGATCTGCGCAGATCGGCGGGCGAAATGCGATTTGCACAGAGCACGCGGGTACCCTGTACCCGACCCGACCGGAGGTCGGGTCAGGTACAAGTAGGCATAAGCATGGGGCCTGTTCGGGGCTTGACCCGACCCATGGTATTGCCCGGGTCGGATCAGGGGTTTCGTTGGCCAGCCCCGGGCGGGCCGTCCCGACCCGACCCGGCCGAAAACCCGTCCCGAGCATGGAACTCAGGCTGGATCAGGCCCGAAACCTGGTTTTGACAGAGGGGTTTCGAAACCCTAACACAAATCGATGACGAGGGGATTATTTCCCCCTTGACATCAGTTCCCCACACACGCTCTTAGTTGCCTTAGTCCAGCGCCAACGTTTCTCCTAACTACTTTGTTTACAGCCCATAGAATCACATTTGCTGTCTAGCTACATTTCCAGAGTTCTCCTGCACATTCGATTGATTGCGTTGCTGGATAGTGTAAGATTTTGCGTATTCATAGGGCGATAGCACTTGACAGGCTGCCCTCTTCAAAGGGGCGGGTCACCCTGGTCGGTCGGGTCAGTGCTGACCTGACTGTGGCCCCCTAGGTCGAACCTGAGGAGATTAACTCTACAACGGTGGGAGCTAGATTACGGGGTAGGCACGGGTTGTGAGTGATCGCAACGTTCTTTAGCATTCTCAAGCACTCGAGCATTCATGGTGAAAGTTGGCAAGAGTTTCACTAACAAAATTTGAGAACAATAGTAAACAAGACAACAATGCCTAGCACACAGGCAGGTCGACTACCAGCGCAGCAAAGTCGACCGCGCTCCAGCACTGCAAACTCGATCGCGCTCTAGCGCTGCAAAGTGGCGACTTGGCAACACAGAAAGTCGGCGGCCTGCCAGTGCTGCACCACGGCGGCTGCCAACGTAGCAAGTCGGCTTGCTAGCGTTGCAGCGGTAGGTGACAACAGCGCACACTGCTACACCTACTTCGCAGGTGCACGCAGGCGGTTGGTCCAACGTGCACCATCACGTGCATGGCGCAGGTGCCAGGTTGGCCACGTGCCGTTGACTGCACCTGATCAGCCATACCACCTCGAGGTTGGCTTTGCGCGACGGTCGCGCTCCACGCAGAACCTCCTCGCCCTGGTTACTTGGTTGACAAAAAAATCACCAAGTCGTGGTCGACTTGTGCGAGAGAATTCGACCAACTGCTCTACGTGCTCGTCTACGGCCACCGGCCGACTTCCCAAGTCGGCCACTGCACAAGTTGACCACTCCAGGTCGACCAGACCAGCTGCCCACCAACTGCACCAAGTCGGCTTTTCCAGGTCGGCGCCCTCAAGTCGGCGCCCCTCCCAGGTCGACGAGCCCCTTCATCGACCACCAGCTAGAAGTCAGCTAAGGTTGAAAATCGAATATACAGTACCTTAGACGAGTATTTAGCGAGTAATGACAAAAAAAGTATTTGATCGAATACCACCAGTTAATTGGAGTCGAATACGAGTCCAATGCTGTCGAATACGAGTCGAATGTCGAGTATACTTCACCAATCTTTATTCATTTGTATGAACGTGATATGAACCGAGATTTTCAAGCTTTGGACAAGTCGAGAAGTTCCATGCACTCTCTAGCGTACTTGTTCAACTCTAGCATGAAACACTCGTTACTTAGAAAGCCATCTGTCTAAGTGCAAACATGGTTTCTGACATTTGCATTCTGATTTGCTGGTCTGTTTGCCCAGAAAAACCTACCAACGTAATCATGTCGTCGGTTGTAAAGAGTGTATTAAGGGCATGTCAAGACTCGAGATTGGCAGAATGTCAGCTTCCACATCCACTTCAGATGACTGAGAGTTGCATAGTGAGCGCGGTATACAAACTAACCGTGCATGTTGACAAGGTCGCGTTATTGTAAGTGCACAAGCACTTGTAGTCATATGGGTTCTTCCTCGACGAGGGTGTTGTAAATGTACATTATATACAACATTCATAGGCTAGAATAGGTGTAGTCCCTTATGTTCTTGGGGGGTTGGGTGTACACTCCAACCACACTTGGTGGTTGGTCAAGATTGGATTTGGTCTTGGTCCTTGGTTGGCACTTGCCAACTTTTGGTCCTAACACCAACCAGTCACATCCTAGCTACATTGTGGGGTTTCCTACTCCACAAGGCACCTCACCCATTGGCCAACTTAGTGGCCAATAGGGTTAGCTCCTCCTCCACTCCTCTCTTCCTTGCATGCTTGTACTATAGAGCCTCCTTGGCTCATTACTCAATCATTCTTGAATCCTAACAGAGGGGCCAAACTCTGTTATAAGTGGTTGGTCAATCCTCTCGGGAGGAAATTTGTGGGTCCACCTGTTAGAACTTGAGCTTAGAATCCATGCATTAGTAGTGAGCTCAAAACTTTTTAAGTACATTAGAAATGAGCAAGGTATGGATGGAGAGGGAATCGGGGGCAATCCTAGGGAATTGGGCTAATCCCAAGGCAATCTCCAATTGGCGAGTTGGAGATTGCTTGGAGATCACATTTGTGTCTGGTTGGGATGTGGCTGTACACCCAACCAAACACAAAGTGCAAACTACACTGAACTAGGATATAAAAAGTACAAGTACAGTCAAACAAACTCATGGCAGAGCTTATAGTGCTTCATTGACCCACTCACCAACAAGGTCCTAGCTCGCTTCACCCTCAACAGCAGTGGCCTCTACACATTGCGTGTACCTATCCCGCAATGGTCAACCTCCCAAGCACAGGCTGACATCACACCATGCTCATGTCGCAGTTTCGCTAATCCGACCATCCTCTACCACCACCATCGGCTCGGGCACCCAAACTTCCGCACACTTGCTGACATGGCCTCCAAGAAGCTATTATCATTAGCACTAGCCGAGGCGGGGTCCCGAGCATCAACTAGGTTGGCCTTACGAGGGCGCATCCAGTTTGGCGGCTTCTTGTCGACTCCGTGGATGGCATACCATTCGTCGTCTTTCGTCTTGAAGCAAGTAACGAGGGGGTGGTGAGTGCCACCACACACTTGTCCCTTGCGGTTGCCATACAT